ATGTGTACAGTAGTATATACATACACACATATATACATATATACATAAATACACACATACATATATACGTACATACGTTATTTATATGAGCTGATTCGCCTGTTTCTACTGCGGTGTATGTCGCTCTGTTATCGTCGCAGAGTAGGTGTGGATCAATCACAAATCACAATATGTATACTTCGTAGGAATCTGATGTTAGCTTGTAAGAACAGAATGATTTTTAATTGAAACCGGCTCGCGTTATTCCAGAGCTTTTGTGCACAGCAGATATATGAGGATACACACCTTTATATGAGAGGCGCAGATGCATTATTTATTAAAAACTATCCTGCATACACATTATTTTAAAGTGAACAGCTGAAGGCTGGCTCTTAGCTGAAAACGCAAGACGATTGCGTTAACGCAATCACATTCAAGCGTATTGGCGTTTCTTGCACATCCTCTGACAAGGAAACCAAAACCGTAAAACGTATGAAAACATTGTACGGTTTATTCTAACGTATTGAATTGAAAGTGTGTTTAGTATTTACGTTGTACGTATTCAAGCTTGCCTGAAGCAGTGAAGGCTGAAGGCTGACATTTTTCTACTTATGAACATGTACCTTCTTTTTATTTATAATATCTATATCCATATTTATAAATATGATAGCCAGTTGTTCAAAAGATAGGAGGATATGAGCCAGTAGCCTTCAAATCAGACGCTTTATTTATCAGAGTACAACAGCGCTGGATTACAAATGTCTAATAAACCATAGCCTTCTTCTAAATTAGACCTAAATAGCGTTTATGCGACGTCACGTTGCCAAATATAGGTTGCAGGTTGCACCGCCAAAACTCCGAGAGCTTTCAGCTTATATTTATATGGCGCAATCGGCAATCCATAGCCTCCGCTCTCCGGCCCTCCTATTCAATATTGTCGACCCCATGGCCCAAGCAAAGGGTCCAGGCGACCAGGCCTAATCTCATTACGTTTCCCGTTAAAATGTAAAAAAACTATTAAAATAAAAATAGCGTTTACGTTCAAAGTTAATCTTAAATTGAGTCCTATGAGTTTACAAATAGGTACATTAATTGTTGCGGCTTATTGTCCTATTTTTCACTTTGTATCAGTTGTGAATATTTTTAAATCGCCTTTTTATTGGTCATTACGCATTTTGTGACCCTGATATTCAATGAATGGTCGATTTGCCCCCGATATTTTTTAAAACGCTTAAAAAACACTTTTTACGTTTACATTTAGTTTATAGCCCATAGGCAATCGAACATAGGCAAAACGTATTGTGCTTAGGCCACCAGGGCCCAGGGCCCAGGGCCCAGGGCCCAGGCACGAGGCAGGAGGATTCTATTCTAACAGAGTAGGACTCGACTCCGAAAACTCCCGAGGCTTCCCCGATTTTTAGAGTCAAAATCCGACGAATTTTTTAGTTGAAAAATTATTACTGAAAGCGGAAGCTTTTCTAAGTCCCTGTCAACTTTATCACCGATTTTTTGTCTGTCGCCAAAAAACGTCAATGACGCTATTTGACACATTTGTAGACCGCCATGGAGTCCCACCCCATTTCAGAGGGAAAGACTCCACATTTATTTGTATAATTTTGTTTTTGTTTTTTGTTTTTTCAACAAAAGGCCCAGATATTTTACCAATATTTCTATATACAGTACGTGATTATGAACAAAATGAATTATCTCTATAATTAAGCACTGTAGTCCGTGTAGTACGCTACTGGTATATTAGACTATAAGTAAACTAAACTAGATGACAAAGCTCAAAAACTGAGTGAGCCTAGTAGTATAATACTAAAACCTCGTGAACCGAATAGGTTCTCTTAATAGAAATAAAGTGGACTAAGTCTGCATAATATTATTACTATGCAGAATTCAAATGACCATACTAGGACATGTCCATATTTAGATCCGATAGAGCCCTGTCCTAAATCCCAGGTGCAGGACTTGTGTCCCACAGAGTCCTGTCCCGGATATCCAGGTGCAGGACTATTAACGTAACTAAAGGACAAGTGTCATATCCCGTACTACAACCCCCGCAGTCGCCTGAGCACGCGTGGTCAGGGGATTCAACAGAAAAAGGGAATATGAACTTGTGAAAACTCAACTGTACCTACTATATAAAACTATGAAAAGTAGTTGGAAATATTGCGAACCAAGGTTTGCTATAAGGTGATAACCTCAATCAGCAACATCGTTATCAACATCGTCATCAACATCCAACGTGGCATCATGGATCCGAGCTGGGGCGTCGTCTTCAGTTGAACCGACATCGTCTGTTCGCCCCTCAGGAGCATCAAAGCACTACGATCTACATCAGAAAGCAACTGTGTTGTAGCATTAGAGACCGGATTCACGATGGATGCAATCGATCGCGACGGCACATCAACCGATACATCCGACAAGGTGTGGACTGCGTGGCGGCCTGTTCAGAAGTCCAATTGATGTTGTTGGTACACCCGATCGACCAAAAAACGATAAGCTTTCTTAATGGATGAAAGTGTAGTAGACACGTTAACAACATATTGCGAGTGCTCGTTCAAAAATATCTCGTCTTCCGCGGTGAAGGAATCTTGGCGCTTATGACCGAATCTATTAGTGAGTTTCGTCCATTTCTATCATGCCGTGTTACAGCTACACATACAGGTACTGAAGTGCGGCCAGATAAATGCGGAAGGCTGCCACGAGAACTTGACGTTCGTCCTGTGGTAAGTCCACTACCGGAGACTCGTAATAGAGCCACATACCGTAAACATACTCGGCCAAAGAACTAAGAGACAGACATTCCGGACGACCGATTTGCGGTGTGTATGCTTTCAATTTTTTGATATGAACGCGGTACTCCTTGTTGAGACCAACATCCTTAATAGGCGTCCGGTCAATCTAAGATATCAAGATCAAATGAGATAATGTAAACTTCGAT